CCCTGCCAGAAACACTGGATGAATTTCTATGGCCTGATTTAGGGAAGAGATCAGGGCAGAAGGCCCTTCTGGCTTGGACTCTGCTGTGACAGCAGTGAGTCCTTCCAAGTTCCCAGGGGCTACAAGTTCTCTGTCTGGTCTTCCAGGTTGTTGGCTGACCAAGGATTTCCTTTCCTATTAAATAAAAACATATATCAATCAAACCAGTAACAAATACAAATAAATAGTCACAGTACATAGAGGAGCAACCCACAGATTCTGCAAAAAGGAGGGGAACTATCAGACTAACACCAAGACCGCACGTCTCATTGTCTGCTAGGGACATGGTGTCTCTGACCAACACTCTACTATATTGCTGCTCATACCAGGAGAGGAGACACCACAGTTTTCAATCAGTCAGCTCCTCCATGCTTTGCAAGTGTGGGGCTGCTGGAAGAACCCCAGGATGCTGCCCCGTGCTGCCACTGCCGTCTGCTGCAGGCCTGGCTCTCCCAGGACCTTGAGGAGGAAGTTGATATATCTCATAGCTAACCGGAGCGTCTCATTCTTGCTCAGTTTTTTGTCTGGAGGGTGGGTGGGAATGAGTTTCCTCAGCTTGGCAAAAGCACTGTTGACGTTTTGCTGCCTCCATCGCTCCCTGGTGTTGGTGAAGATCTTCCTTGTCATTCTCAAGGTGCTGGAAAGCAAAGGAGATGGTGAGTGAACGTGAGATAGCCTTGGCTTTCAAGCAGGCTGAGGCTCTGGTGGCACTGTAACCTCTGGACCTGCTGCAAGCACACAGTGATGGCGCCACGCTTTTCTAATTTTTGCCCTCTGTGCAGGCATGATTATAAGCATTGCAGGGGCAACCAGATGCCAGTGTCCAGTAAGGACTTCACAAAGGAGTGAATGGAGTTTAATTTAATTATACCACCCTTTGGTGCTGCTATAAGCCCAGACTCTGCAGGCTCCTCAGAGTTCCCCTGCAGCAGAATTCCCAATAGCTAATGCATTAATCATCCCACTACGTTAGGTGAGAGACAGCTGGGCACTTTTTGTGGTGGAAGGCAGGTAGACAGGCAGACCCAGGTCCGAACATATCTGTGCTTTCACAGCCCCAGTTCACATCTTCTTGGGGGCTTCTCCCAGCTGGCCCAACCTTGGTGACTCGTGGCTGGAGCTAAGCCAGGTGGACCTTCATTGCAGGCCTTCAGTGAGCAGACAGCCGACACTACGGACAGACATGATTACAGTTATTTCAGGAGATTTCTCCAGGGAAGCAAGAGCCTGGTTCTCTGTCCAGCCCACACTGACTGCTCACTGCTGGAGGCAGAGACTCATCAGCCTGATCCACGCAAGCTTCTGCTTTAGCCTCTGAGAGCTGCCAAGAATAAGCCACAAGTGCCATGAGTGCAGGCTGCAGAGGGAAAGTGTGATTTCTACAAAACTTTCAGGCATCCCAGCCAAAATGTCCATGTAGGTGTTACTTGCCCACCGTGCCTTGCAGAGCTGAGCAGCAAAGGGAACCCAGTGACCAGAGCAGACCTGGCAACAGAAGAGCACTGTGCAAGTGGCACAGGGTAATTTTACATGCCATTTACCAGAAAGGTCATCAAAAGCTCTTGGGGTTGCCCTAACCCTGCTCCCACTGCCATTGGAAGAGTTTTCCCTCTCACAGCCCTCAGGAGACACTCATTTCTCCATTTTTGAAGTTGCTTTTTATGCCAATGGCACACAGACAGCTGGAGCAGGGAAAAACTATCGGCAGCCAAGAGACTAAAGGACAAATGTTTCCACTTACCCTCTCATGCATGCAAAAACCTCAGCTTTTTTATATTCATTGGCAAGTCCATCCTTACAGGAGTCCCACAAGGGACTGGGGAGCAGGGGGGACAGCACCCTTCATCCTCAGAAAGGGGAAACTTTGCAGGGACAGCCTAGCTGTGATCCTGTGTCCATGTGAGGCTGCCTCATACTGAGCAAGACACTTGGGCTTCACCAAAGTATGTGGTATTAGTCTGGATGAATAAAGAAATCCCACTGTGACTCAGAGGTTAATTGGGGTGCCTTGGCAGGGAGACAAGACGTGCATGGCAGACGAGGAAGTTCCCTCCCAGCTCCTTCAAGTCCCAGTCCAGCACCGATTACAAATCACAAAGGAAACACATTTATAGGGTCATAAACTATATCACAGCCATGTTCAAAGACCTCGGGCAGAGATGCAGATAATACAGATGCACCCATATATACTATATATGGCTATGCTCATGCTGGGCTGTACCTCCCAGGCTCCTCTCGGTCATAGCCTTTACAGAGCTAATACATTTCTATTTTGGTAGAAGTCTGAAATTACAACTGTCAGGTCCAGTTGTCCGCTCTGCCTTCAGAGAACAAGAAAGTTATCTCATCAAAATGCCTTTGCTTCACAAGACTCTCATTTAAAAAACAAACTCTCATGTTTCAGGTGGCTGAGAGTTTTTTATATTTTTTGTAGAATTAAGTTGAGACCCATTGCTTGAACCAAAAGGGGATCTTATCGCGCTTTTTTTTTTATTATTATTCTCCTACTTCACTTATTACTTTGGGTTGTGCTATGGGAAAAAATCTACTTGGTACTTTGCACCTACCTGAAACTGCTAACCTGTATCTTTTGGGCAAGAACTGCAGAACTTCACCGCATCGATATGGATTTCAAACATTGTCTTCCAGTGCTCCTCTGTACTGTGGCACGCTCACTCTCTAAGGCAAAACTTTTGCCTTTACAGTTTTACTCTTCCATGTAGCTGCTTGGATCCATGTGAAATTCAAATCGCCAGCTGCTTCTTTCTCTCTCTCATCTGTTTTCAGTGTTTGTTTCGGTTTTCTTTTAAGACAAATTTATCCGTGTACAAAGGCAGTTGTTTTTTATAACTTCAGGAAAGTTATTTGGGCTTCCTTGTTTCTTCTAATGGGTTGGGTAGATTGTATTTTGTCAGGCCTTTCAGTTTCTGCACTGTAATTCTGGTATTGTGGATCTGGGTATGCTGGAGGCTTATTTACATCTCAGCTACAAATACCAGTAGTGGGGCAGCTCGTTCTCTGTCCCCTGCTGCAGACCGTCCCCAGTGCACCGCTCCGGGAAGGATGGTTAGCATCCAGCCCTGGCACTGAGAACATGTCATCTTGTCCTGTTAGTGGTATTATTGGCGGAAAAAGAACGCCAGCAGTACTACTTCACGCCACGCTGTCTTTGCCTGTCTTCTTTCACCTTTGGAAGGGACAAAACTATGCTTGTGGTCACAAGCGTTTTTGTCAGCAAACAGATGCCTTTGTGAAACCAGCTCCTGCTTTACACTTCATAAACGTCTGTTTGTATTCCTGATGTTTATTCAAGATCAGCAAACAGCAGCTCCTCCACTCCCCCAGCATCTCCTCTTGCCCTGATAGCTCTACAGGGAACTTCGTTTTAGGTGTAACCCACCTCCGTACACCTCTCCACCTTAAATTCCTCTCTGCTTTCTCCCATTACCATTGCCGGTTTCCTGATATGGTGCTCAGAGTTTCAACTAGAAACATAAGAGAAAAACGACCCTGGTCCAACCTTGCAGTAACTATAATGTTTCAGCATAGCTTCTTTTCTCGTATCATCACCTACACATACCTCCAGTTCTCTCTCAGCACCTTCCAGTTAAAATGCAGCGAGTTCACTGACAAGGAATCTGATTTCCATTTCTTTTGTCTCATTCTCTTCCTCCTCTTACCTCCAATCCTCCCCATCGAGCCTGGCTTTCAGTATCGTATTACTTGCAGCTTCAGGTCTTAGCTAATGTTGCACATCAATCAATGTATTCTTTAGCTTTCTCTGGTGCACTGTATAAAATATGTGTTATCTAGTGGCTGTGTGTGGCATATCTCCCACTGGTCCATTTTAAATCTGTGCAGAAATCACCTGTTTGTACATATCACGGACAGATAAATTGCATTAAAATGCAAGCCTGGATTTTGTGCTTTCTGATCACCTCCCCTAACTGCAGGTTAACAGCGCCACATGTAGCTGACAATAGAGAAACTCAGGAAGACATTAGCTTTAATTTAAGAGGATTAATTCTGCTCTCAGGAATGTAAACCTGCGAGGTTACACCATTTTCACTGGAGGAATTACTCTGAAGGGCAAAATGTTGCCACTGAGAGCAGGACAGGACTTGGATCAGGAAGGCACATCCAGAAGTAGTGGGTAAGTAGAGTGTCATAAGCTAAGATCCACATCTGCAGTGTGTAAAGGGAGTTGTGCAAAGAAATAACCCCAGCCCAGCAGTGAATCTGCTCCGATAGCCAGAAGGAGAAAAAACAAAGCCCTACCACTCACCAAACAGATAACTGAAGCTCTTTCCACCCCGCTGCCTACCCCTTTAAAAAATATAAAAATAGAGGGGGAAAAAAATACTGGCTGTGGTTAACGCAGCCGCCAGCGTCACCAGACAAAAGACTAAACAATAGAAAAGATGAAGATCTCTCCCTCGGTAGCAGCAGTTCTCACAGGCTCTCTATGCAAAAGCCATTCAGGCAATTCAGGCAGCAGCAGCAGCAGAGCAGCTTAGGCACAAAGCACCTTCTCTGTTAGGACATTCCCCAGCAAATGGCCCCTGAGCCAGCGGTTAATGTCTGAGGGCTGGCAGGGGACTCGCCAGGAGCCCAGCACTCAGTCATAATTAGCAGGCTGCTATTAAATAAAGATCTTGGATGAGAAAGTTCCTCCCTCAAGTTATACCTTTGACCTCGGTGAAGTTAAATCCATGTTGAAACTGGCCACTGGAGACCCACTCCTGCAAATCTTAATCAGACAGCAGATGCCTGCTGCCAGCAAGAATTGGAGTGCCTCTAGTAAACCTGCAGCACCACGCTGTTACTCCACCGGGAAATCCAGTGCCTGCTGAAATTGGTTATTTAGCACATTGCATAGGATTTTGTGAAGTCCTCTCAGCCCTTAAGTAAATGGCAACAGAAGAGCAGATGGTGCCTGTTTCCTCTATCAGGCGGGTGCTTGTGAGCCTGATCTACCACAGGGAGCAAAGATTCTCCAGCTATCACTCCTCACTGCTGTGCTTTGTGCACTTTTCATCAGTGCGATCTGGAGACTAGAAGAAAGAGGAAGCTCATTGTTTCCTTCTTCAGTTTCATGTGAGCCTTGGAGTGCAGGACTCAGCTCCATGTGGTGGGGAAGATTGAGCATGGATGTCATAAGATATTACACTGCTGATCCATAACTTGTGACTCCTTTTGTTCCCCAGCCCCTAGGAGGAATAAGTTCTAATTCTTCACAGCTGAACCGTGCTCTGCTGCATGGTTGGTTGAACTGCAGAGACTTCCGTTGAATTGGGAGAGGAAGGAAGAGCAGAGGGGAAAACACATCCTAGCTTGCCTGCTTGCAAGAAGAGCAGTGCACCTCTGGGTACAGGCTCTTTCCTCCCACCTTTCCTCAGCCCTGCCTCCATCACCACCTCCCTATATCTCAGCATTATACCTCTCCCCAGGTGCCTCCCAGCTGAAATGGACAAGGTGGACAAGGACACAAAGAGAGAGCACAGTGTAGTAAGCCGAATGCTGGGCCAGCAATCAGGGAGTTTGCCTTCTGTCCTAGTTCCTGCTGTTCCTTTGCCTCAGGCAGGTTTTTTTTGTTTTGTTTTGGTTGTTTGTTGTTTTTTGTTTTT